TTTAAGTTAACTTTAACCCACGACAGATGGGTTATTCTGAGGTGCTAGATACTGCCGCATCTTACCCCCTTACATGTATGTAAAAATGAGGCAGAGAGATGAAAGGTGAGTCCAGGTTTTTATACCAAAGCTTGTGGTGCTGCTATAGAACTGCTTTGTCTACCAGTGACAATTTTCTCACCTTCTATAAACGATGTTTCTGGTATATTCCATGCCTTCCAGAGTCAAAGGGGCAACACAGTGGACTGTGGGAAGTGATGTATTTACTTGTTCCTGTCATCCAATGGCCTTTAATTCTGACCTTGAATTTTGGCAGTAATTCTGTGCATTTGTGTTCGCTGTTCTTTCAGTCCTGATCAAACTTCTCCAGCCGCTCTGTGTCACCTACTCCTTGCCAGTGGACAGTGGCCAGAATTTCTGCAAGAAGTATTTTCCCACAGTTCTCAATTTGCTAAAGAATGGCCATGTCTGCTTTTGATCTGACAAACCAGAGCATGCAGTATACAGAGCCCGAGATAGGCTGTATCGCCCCACGGATGCAACTGAGGGATGAAACATTTGTCTTTGTTGATGGTAAATGGGTGAATGAGATCTACTGCCAGCCACCCTTTGCTTCCCACCGGAAACTCCTTAGCAAGAAGGCCCAGAATGAGTGGAGCATCTGGGAGGAGAACAGAGCTATCTGGGAAGAAAATAAAGTCCTCCGGATTGAGAACAGGATGCTCTGGGAAGAAATCAAGGCTCTACAATGTCTCCAGTCACAGAACAAAGCCATCCAGGTTAGTTACACTGATGCCATTCAGCAAAGCCTCCAGAAGGAAAATAACCCATTGCCATTCTTCCAAGAGAGGAGCATAGGCTTTCTGGTCAGCCCAGGCAACAAAATTCTCCAGGCTATCCAGGAAAAGAAGAGATTCTTAGAGGATTTCCATCAGGAGAATAAAACAGTCCCCATCATCTGCAAAGACCAAGAAGTTGTCACAGTTCGTGAAGAGAGCAAAGATGCCAGCTCAGATCTTCAGGAGGACACTGACTCCACCACAGATGCAGAAGAAGGTAACCCTGGCCCAGGCCCCCAGCAGGAACATGAAGATAAAGAGGAGACCACAATTCCGACCCAGAATAAGATCAAGTCTTCCCCGAGCATGCAGGGTGAGCATGAAATCATCCGGGCTCTCCAGGACTTATACGAACTCCTCCACGTCTTCCTGAAAGTGAACAATCTCCTTGGGGAGAAGCAGGGCTGTCACATTCTCTATGATGTGAACAGATCCTTCCAAGAAGACCATATTAAATTGAAGCTACAGCTGAATTCTGTGAAAAACACTGTGTCGGACATTAGGGCTCAAATGGAAATGTTGGAAGAGGAGCTCATTGCCATCACCTCCCCAGTGTACGAAGAAGCTGGCAACTGAGCATCAGCTTGGAGAGATGTGAAGCTTGGTGCTAAGACCTGCTAGTTCAATTCCATGGAAAGCTTCTTTCCTTGTTTCAGGGAACCTAATAAAATCCCAGTAGAGCCTGAAGACATCTGGGGAACATTGTGTTATTTTGACACTTTCTTACATTGCTTAGATGTATTTCACTTTGTGATTACACAGTGTGGGTGACTCTCATGAATTTGGCTAGTGTCAGGAAAACATACTTTTCAGCATTTTTTTTCAAAGTTTCTGGTAATAAGGCCTACATTTTCAAAAGGTAGATCATACTTTTCACACTTAATTTGAGGTACCTTATGTTGGCCATAGTTTTCAGAAGGATGGGCACTTAGTGAAAATGAGGATCCCAGCTGTGAGCCAAATGTGTATCCCTTTCTTTCTTATGGCTGGCCAAGTTCAATGGCTGAACTGTGTCTTCTGCCACGCACCAGCCTCCCCTCTCTCCTATAGGGTAAGCAGGGGATCATGGCAAATGTAGCCTCCCAGAGGAGACAGGCCCATGAAAGACAACAGGACACAGAAAAACACACCATATGTGCCATGAGACACTGTATGTTGGTGCAACCAGAACAAAGTGTTTTCATTTAAGGAAAAACAGTGCAACTACATGACAGGAGTTTTCTGTATAAGCTTGCCATGATTTTCTCAAATATTACCTGTTCTGTAGAAATGATCTAAGACAGAGTTGCTTTCTGCACTTCTTGTGAATAGATAGATGGACAGACAGACAGAGAGATGGATGATAGACACTCTTCTCTACTAAAATTTGCCCCCTACCATATTCTTGCTGTTTCCTTTTGCCAGTTCCACATTTCCACTTAAATTATTGCCCTTTTCCCTTGTGTAAAGCTCTTCCTCAGAAGAGAATCCATCTCTTGCCTCAGAGTATAACAGGACCATAAAGCAAACCTCACCCACCAGAACAGCATGTGCCCTTCCCACTTGGTTATTTGTAAATTACTTTCATCAATTTGTACCTTAATTAGACTTAATTCTTCTCAAATGGCCTCGTTTTGTTACACTTGAATAATCCTACTGATTTCAAGTAAGATTGTAATTTGCTGATAAATGGCACTTTTAGGATGCAGTGTGTATAGGAAGGACTGCTTAGTGTCTTATTTATAGCTCACTTCTAAACCTAAAATTCCTGTAGACTTCGGTGGTGCTTTTAGACCAGCTCTTCTTTGTGGCCAGGAATCACACGTGTCTTTGCCTGAAAACAATCACATGTAGTTATGGAGCTAACAGCTCTCTAGCCTGGAGGAGCATTGATATTTCTAGTGGTAGCCCAGGGCAAGGGAAAGTGTAATGCCCTACCCCTGTGCAGCAGAAGCCCCTGGGCAGCTTTGTGAGTCTGAGTCATCATTCTGAAATCTTCTATTGGACTTGAAAGCAGGAGCACACATACTGCAATAACTTACGGTCACATGCTGAGGACCGGGCTGGGGTAAGCATGCTGTGAGTTGAGCCCCAATACCCTCACCAGCCCTGCTCCATCACCCTGGCAGTCCCCGTCAGCCAGGCCACTGCAGGTGGGTGGGAAAGGTCTGACATCCTCTGCACCTTGGTCCTGCTGGTGCTTCTCTTAGGATTTTTTGCATCTTGTCCTTGCAGTGCTTTTATCTTTGAATGTCTCATGATTTCCCTCCTTTGTTTTAAACTGTTGCTAACTGATATAAACTCAGCAGTCTCGTTGCCGTGTGCTTTCTTCAGCTTTGCTTTTGCTTCTTGCACAGCTTAGCAGCCACCATACTATCTTGCATAGGGACCTGCAGACAGGACCCTTGCAGTTCACCGTTAAGCTGCTTTCAGCGGGATTGTCCCATTGACTGGCAGCTCAAAAATCCAGGCCTGCCTCAGGGACATGGCCCCTGAGAAAATGAAGGGAAGTCAAGGGTATGTCCTCGCCTCTGATGGGGGTGGAGAGAAAGGGAAGAGGACTCACAATCATGTGGGTGCTCAGGCTGTGGGGGCACTGCCTCAGGGGAGAACTGCCTGTTTCTGCACCATCACTGGACTGTCACATGCAATCATAGCCTGGGAGGGGTGGACAAGAAAACCACAGCAAGAGAAGTGGGTTCCAGCTCGTAGTCCAAGGGCATACTCACAACCCTCTGCTACACAGTGCTGATGAATAAAGGAGGATTCCTCACAACAGACATCATGATGGGGCCCTAGCAGTGAATGGAGCAGGCAGCAGAGCCACAGCTCCTGCACAGAGCAGTGAGGTCCCTCTTCTTGAATCGTCAAATAAGGCAGGTTTTTAGCTCTCTGTAGCAAGCAAGCAAGCAAGTTACCAAAAGTGGCATTTTGGTGGCTTTTTCATGGCTGAAGCTGGTACTTGGATGTGTATTTGCTCACACTGTGAATGGAGACACCAGGCTCAAGTGACCGGCTGCCACAGGAGACAGAGAGCCTGTTGATATGTTCATGTTTAGAAATCATCTCTCGTCTCAATTGTGTGGCCAGACTGTTTGGAAATGTGTTTTCCTCTCTGTCTTGGACATCCCTGATGCACTGCAATTTGCTGCAATCTTTCTGGCAGAATACAGGAGTCTTTAGGTAATCTGACAAGACAGGCGCAAGGAAACTTCTGCAGAGCAATTGTAGGAGCATTATTGTAAAGCAAAAGGAAGGTTATGGTGAGGTTTACCTCTTTCAATAGGACCCAAGAAACATCTTGTCACTCTAGTTTATAGGTCTGTAAGTGATTTGACACCAAATTACTTAAGGGATGAATTATCTTTCACCTTGTATTTCACTCAGACAACAGCAGGACAAATACCAGTGATGACTGTTTACCTCAGAGGCTTAAAGTAAGGGGCATTTTCTTCTGCTGTTAGGGCTTCAAGATGCATGTTTGAAGCTAAAGGAATGGCTTTCAGTGGTACAGGGGGAGGGAGAGCAGTGTGTGTAAGGACCAGGTGAGAAGAAGAGGGCCTGGAGCAATGGCTGTTAATAGAAGGATGTACAGACAGCAAGTTGCTCCTTTTTAATGACAGGATTATGACTATGAATAGATAAATATCTCGGCCCCATGCTGGGGAACTTTTATGCTTCTGCACCTCGGACAGTCTTTTTTTCTCCTAGCTGTCTCCCTCAGTGTTTTTTAATGTAATATTTGTTAAGAGGCAGGAGGGGGTCTATGGACACCCTAGTGCCAAGCTCTGGAGGGGGGCAGTGGTGCTGACCAGCTTTGGTTGTGTGTTTGTATTTTAACAAAAAGTGATTTGTGTCCTGTTAGAAAAAACAAACCACTCCTTTGGCAGTGGTCAGGACACTGCCTCCTGCTGTATCCCTGTACGTGGTGAAGACACATGGAGGAGCCATTTTCCACCAGGCTCTTGGAAGGAGTCATCTCACCTAATATCAAGTATCCAGGAAAGGACATCCAGATCTCAGCTAGTCACCCTTGGCTTCCTTTCTAGCCTATAGGAAGAAATGGGCTGTGATTTATCTGATCTCTCTTAGACAAACCATTTAGGGTGGCCTGAGTCGCCATCTGGAGTCGTCTGCTTCTCTTTGTTGCCTCTATAATTACTTTGGGGGCAACAAGCTCCAATGTAGAGCTTCAGTTTGGAGCTCTCTGAGTTACAGGGGACATATCCTGCTCTCTCAGTGAGGAGCTTGGCAGTCCTGAGCGGAGGAGGTGCTTCATCAGGTGAAGTGGCACAAGCTCAGGAACTTGTGCTCCTGGTCCCAGTCCCTGGCTTTGCTTTGTGTGAGATGCCTTCATCAAGCAGCTGACTCAGATCTCTCCATTGTGTGGGGAAATTATTACTCTGTAAATGAAATTGAGTTAGTTTGGGCAGAGCTTAACTGTCAGGAACACATGTAGGATCCCCAGGGGAAAACATTATTTCTCCCGAATGCTAACGATGTTCCTGGGGGAATTAGGTTTTGTGAGCCCTTCACTCTTTGATCTCTGCTTTAGATCTTTGATCTTCCTGGTTATAAAAAGTCTATACCTGGTGTATGTTTTTTGGCATACTGACTCATGCCTTAAAGGTTCCTCGGGTCTGTCATGTGCTGAGATAACAATGCCCATAATGACTGCCCAGTGCTTAATCTTTCAGAGAACTGTGTGATAAGAAAACTCTCAAAATTCCAGAATGTACCCAATTTTCAGTCTGCGCTTATTTGGTTGCAAACCACACAGAGTTGGTGACAACAGTGGGGGATCACTTCTGGGCGATGGGAGAAAGACAGATGATAACATGTTGCTTGGTCTACAAGAGTATTGCTTGATCTGTTACTCAATGTTGAGGGCACAGATGGTGAGATTTGACTGAGTAGCCTGCAGAGTGCCACACGACTGCACAGGGATGATCCTAAGCACTGCCCATTCTCTGCTTTGCTCCATGCCCCCAGTGAGTGGGCGTTAACCACTTCAATGGAGGCCATCACAGTATCCTACAGGTCTCCATCCAGAATGGGTGCTGGTGAGGAGGGCTGGGCTCACAGATTTTGCAGCCTATTTAAAGTACAAATGGAGGAAAAATGCAGCAGCAGGTATCTACAGGAACAACTTGTTAATTATCATAACATTTAGGCAAGTTTGGAAAAAAATGGGGTGAGCTTAATTTTTTCTTCCTAGCCTGTTCACTCATTTAGAAGTTCCTGGAAACTGATAGCTATTCTGGTTTGAAATGGATGGATGTCATTCTTATTGTGCATAATTTACCTTTTGCAGAGAGACAAACTATCTGTCTCTCTCCTTCTTACTGTTGCTGATTAGCCCTTATTTTTGCAATACTCATTTGTCAGTACTATTTTTGGAAAGCTGGGTTTTTGGCAAGGTCACCATCAGCCTCTTGCTTCCCTGTAAATTGGATTATTGCCTGTAGCTGGGCTCTGTGCAAATGCTGACTTTCCTGTTCTTGTTTCTTATTAGGCCAGTAATACAGCCAGTTTTGTACTGTTCATATAACACCCACCCTGGCCTTTTGCACTTGTCTTAGCAGTCCCACTGCATC